GTAAAAATTTTATAATATTTATTTAAAAATATATTATTTTATTTGTTTTATTTGCAAATTATACAAATAATTAATAATAATATTTTAATTTTTTTTATGAGATTGAAATGTCAAAAAAAAGACAATCTATACCTAATTATATTAAAAAAAAAATATAAAACTCCTTTTCCAGGTACTGAAGATAAAATAACAGAAAAAAGAAGAAAACAAAATAAAAGATCTGCCAAAAAAAGATATTATGAACAATTAAGAGAAGCAGCTAAAGGACAAGGTTCTTTAACAAGAACTAGATTCAAAACATAAAAAGTATTAGCAAGAACAAGAACAAAAATAAAAGAAGGTATTAGATTAAAATAACAAAAAAGAAGAGCTTCTATAAGTGCTAAACAAAAAGAAAAAAAAAAGACAAAAGAAAAAAGAAGAACAAATTGACAATTATATAAAATAGGATATTGTAGTTTAGATAATTATGAAGAGCAAAAAGAGGAGGAAGATAAGGAGGAGGAAGAAGAGCTGGAGAAGGAGGAAGAAGAAGAGAATGATGATGATGATAATGATGATGGTAGGAATGATAGTGGAGATGATAATAATGATAATGATGGAGATGATAGTGGAGATAATGATAATGATGATAGTGATAATAATGATGATGATAGTAATAAAAAGAACAATAGGGGGCTTAGTTTAGAAAAAATGGACATTGAATATAAACATTGTGGGGCTTTAAAATAGGAGGGGAAAAACCAGAACTTTGCTGCATGAATAGAGAAATAGAATTAGCACCACTATCTATACCACCACCACAATAAAAAAATTGCTTACAGAAAAAAATCCTAAATCTAAAATACCTTTTGTTAGGCAAATAAGAGCATATAATCAAATATTTGCTTTTACATCAATTGGTACAAAATTGGATCCAAAACTTGTCAATGAAAAAAAAGAGGTTTATACTTATAGAATTCAGGATGAACATTATCATGAAATTAGTTCATTAATGCCAAAACAAGAAGATTCTCCAAAATTTTTACAAATTTATTTTTATGATTCTAATGATCCTAATATACAACTTAATAGAAGATATGAAATAATGAAAAAAGAAATAAATTATAATATATTAAAAGAACTTCAAGAGGAATTAATAATATTAAATTCTTTTATAAATGTTTATACACAAGCAGACAAATGGGAAGATGTTGGAAATGTACCAATATTATATATTTTAATTCATAATACTCGTGGTAAAGATATAAGACAATATAATACACCTACAGAAGATGAAGTAGCTGCAATTTGTTTAGTTGATGAACAAATGCAAGAAAGAGACATTTTAATTCAAAGATATAATGAAAAATTTTTAAAAATTTCTGAATTAAATAGTGTATATAATCTTTTACAATATCCTTTGCTATTTCCACATAGGAATATGGTTGGCATAAAAAATATTAAGAAAAATGAAATAGATATTGATAAACAAGATAATAATGATAATGATAATGATAATAATGATGATGATGGTGATGATGACCTGTATATGATATTAGGCTATATTTTATGAAATTTTAGCCAATTTGAATTAGTGGTTCTTGAGTAATTGCTTAAAAACTATAATCAATTATTTTAACTCAAATATTTACAAATATTAAGTAATTACTCAAGAACTACTAATTCAAATTAGCTAAAATTTTTTTAGTATTTAGATATGGTATATAACAATAACATATTAAAATTATAGCTAATTTGAATTAGTAGTTCTAGAAAAATTGCTAAAAAATTATAAATAATTTTTTTTTACTAATTAATTTTAGTTTTTAAGTAATTACTTAAGAACTACTTAACCAAATTGGCTAAAAATTTTATGAGCTATAGTTTAATACCTTATAGAACAACTTAAAAATTTTATTTAAATCGGATTAGTAGTTATTGAGAAATTCACTGCTAAAACTTTGCTAGCGATTTTTAAATCTATATTCAAACCCGGGTCCATTTGAACCTAATCTGGGTTCATTTTGAACCTAATCCGGTTACATTATGAATCTAATCTGGGTTCACTTTGTACCTAAAATAAATCAATTTTGTACCTAAGGAAGATTCATTTGGTACCTAAGGTAGGTCCATTTGGTACCTAAAATAGATCTATTTGGTATTCAAGATAAGTCTAAGTAGTACTAAAGTAGGTCTATATAATATCTAAAGTAGGTCATTTGGTATCTAAAGTAGGCCTATTTTGTATCTAAAATAGGTCTATTTGGTACCTAAAATAGGTATATTTGGTATCTAAGATATGTCTATTTAGTATCTAAGGTAAATCTATTTAGTATCTAAGATAGATTCTAAAACAAGTTTATTTTTTATTTAAAAATTATTTTAGAAATAATATATAAGTTTTATTATATTTTTACAAAATTATATATAAAATACAATTTTGAAATTTAGTCTAAATTAAACTTAATTTAGCCTAAATTTAAAATAATACCACTATATATTATATTGTAAAAATATAATAAAATATTTAAAAATTAGAAAAAATTAGATTTTAGAACCTGGGCAATGCCCTGGTTCTAAAATCTAATTTTTTTCTTATTAAATTTAAGATATTAAAAAAAATTAAAACAAATCTAAAAATAAGAAAAACATTATAATCTCAAACCCGGATAATATCAAGTTCTAAGAGCTAATATAATTAAAAATCTAAGAATTAGAAAAACATTAAAACCTTGAACCTGGGCAATGCCAGGTCTTAAGAGCTAGTTTTTTTTGAATTTTTTAAATATATATTAAATGTGAATTTAAATCGTTAAGTTACTTTAAAATATCTGGTTTACAATTTTTGCAATTACAAAATACAAATATAGAAAAGCTCTTAAATAATTTGAATTCATCTTATAAAAATAAAAAATTCTCTAATACAAAGATAATCATTGGTAAAAGAGGAAAAAACTGAAACAATTTATGCTAATTCTTTTATACTTAAGATATATTTTGAATATTTTTAAAGAGACTTGTCAAATGGCTTGAGTCAAAAGGTAGATGAATATTTTGTTATAAAAAAGCCAAATGCTACACCCAATTCTATGAATATTATTATTGAATTTCTTTATAGCATAGACTTCAATGCATCACATGATATGAGAACACTTTTGGATATGTTTTCGCTCACAGACAAAATGGGTATTATGGTATTACGTGATGGGTTGAAATCATATTTCATCAAAAATATTATAACCATTATAAAAAACAACCTATTATTAGTTTTAAAATTTATTAAAAAATTTATTTTGTATGATGATTTGAAAGAGATATTGTTAAAAGCTTTGTGTTTGAATTTGGCACTATTATTTAATTTCTATAACAAAGAAATTCATGAAAATATTCTCCATAAATTAAAATCAAGGTCAGAGTTATGCCTGGAAGAAAACTTGTTATTAAGTAGAATGATTCAATGATTGTTGGATACAAATAGGTTTCCAGATAAGATATATTTAATAGATTATATAAGGTTCAACTAGATTACTTCTGACAAAATTATTGATATAATACGTAAGTATAAGAAAATAAGAAATATAAATAATAAAATACTTTCTGAAATGCAAAAACATTACGAAAAATACAAAGACAATAACTATAATGTCCAAAATAGTAATTTTTGCCTCAAATTTGAAATTATAGATTTAAACACAGCTAAAAAATTAATCACATAGATAAGCAGAAAAGAATATAATATATGTTGGTACAAGTTTGAACTTTTATTTAATATGAAGTATGGTAGTTTAAAGTCAGAAACCTTTTATAAAAACTGTGATAGAAAAGGGTCTACTATAGTAATTATTAAATTATTTGATAGTGATTTAATAGGTAATTATAATCCATTAGATTGGAAAGGTGAGAATGTTTGAAAAAAAAACTAGTGATAGTTTTCTATTTCAAAAAATTGTTGTAACTATAAGAAAGTAAATATTAAAGCAGAATCTGAAGGGATAGCTATTCGTTGTAGAACTGCATATAGACCAATATTTGGAAGAACTAATTTGTGTATTCAGGTTTTTGTATAGTTAAAGATTTACAATATGAAAGTTTAAGTATATCAGGAAGATTCCAGATAGTATCTTATGAGGTTTTAAGAGTTATCAAACAAAGATAATATATTTATGTTTTTCAGAAAATGAATTCTAATGTACTTAATATAATAATTAAATATAAACTTAAAAATCATGGCTAAAACTTTATAGAAATTAGATTGACTATATTCTGATATTAAATTAACTAGAAGAATGTTTACTAAAACTTTGACCAATTCCTTCTTTATGTATAGCTCTCAGCCATTTAAATTTTTTGATCTAAATTATCTACTTATGCCATTATCTACAGTTTTCAGTAGGGTTAGAGATAGAGTGAGACTATTAAAATGAGTGCAGGAAAGAGAAAATATATATTCTAAAAATAGATAATTATAAATTTATAGTAATCTATTTTTAGAGCATATATTTTCTCTTGCCTGCACTCAAATAAACTCAATAGAGATGGAAATATAGCTTCATGAGATTTATACTATGTTTTTATATAATCTTTAGAACATTGCCCAAATTTTGAAAAGTAATATCTTTTTAACATCAATACAAAAGGATATTTAATTTTATATATATAAAATAATAATATTGAATTCATGATACTAATGAATTTAATATCTCTGAGTAGAAAAGTGAGTTGAGTTCAGAATTACAGACAGTAGTTGGAAAATATATTTTTAATCAAATTTGCCTGGAAAATTTTGATTATTTGTATTATCATATTAACAAAAATTAAAGTTAGGTATAGTATAGTTAGTGCAAATCTTATACTCTCCTAATAAATACTTTGCATATTATTTAATGCAATTATCTTAACTATTAAGCCAATAATGTTTACTGGACAAAAAAATCAAGAAAGTAATAGGAATGTTATCAACACCTATTGATATTGTGCAGTACATTTTCAAATTTGACTAATACAGCTTAGTTAATAGGTATTAAATATTTTAAAAATAAAATTCTTTGGTATGAGAATGCTTTTTTCCTAATTCAAGCTCAATAGAAGTTCTTCAATTATTTTTATTTTTTTTAAAAAAAACAACCAAACCAATTAATAGCTGCTTAGAACTTGCTAGATTAATAATCTTCTTTTTTTTGAAAACCAATTAGTCTTTTTATATAATATTATTCTAAAGTCATATTGTTTCAAATATTGCATTTCAAAAAATTTGTCTGTGGATATTAATTCTGGCTTCATTATAAATATAAATATTATTTAGCAAAAACAAATGATTTTTGAATAGCTTGAAGTTGGCAACTCTATTGCATTAAGTAATACTTATTAATGAAAAAAAAAATTTGTAAATTGATTTACTCAAACATTTCAACAATTAAATTACTTAAAATACTGCAATTTGTATTAGCTATTCCTTGATCATTTGAAGGATGCCTGATATTTTTATTTGAAAAATAAGCCATCATCTTTTCATATTGCTGCAAATAACATTACAATACATATTAATAAATGTAGTTTAATTTAAAACCACTTTTAAATTAATTTACAATTAGATTTTTGTTAGAAGTTTGTTAAATGCTAAATAAAATAGATTATTTAATTTTCAAAAGTAACAAAATAAATTAGGCCAAAAAAAAAATTTTGTTAATTTATTTGTAAATAATTGTAAAACTTTTAATTTTAAATTAAATAAAGATTAATCAGATTAATCTTATATCATTTATAAAATTTATTAATTAGTACTATACATATATGAGGGGATATTTTTTTTTTATTTTTTTATTTTTATTTTTATTTTATTCTTTGACAGTCTTGCTGGTGCTACAATACAAATATTTACATGGTGAAATCTGTCTTAAAAAAAAAAAACCTATTTCTAGTAAATGTCTTTTGCAATTACGAGCCCAATATCACCCGACTACAGATACTTTGCCTAGATGCGATTTGTCGCACTAACTTACATACATGTCAGGAGACCTTGTCAACCCATCAAAAACTAATCTCTTCAATCTTTCTTTCTTTACTGAGAGCACAATAAAGTAAAATTCTGTATCACTAATACAGAACTAACATTAAGAAGCAAAACGAAAACTAAAACTAAAAAAAAAACAAAAAACATATAAATAAAATAGAAATCAAAAAGGAAGATAAATGGGATAACAGGGGAATATAAAAAAAGAAAAACAAAGAGAAAAGCCTTTATGGGCTGACTAATCTGCCTCTATCAAGAAGCGATTGTGGTCAAATAATAAAAATTATATAACTAATGCAACTATAGTATATCTCAATTGTAAAGTTTCACTTTATCTA